TGATTTAATTTTGATTATATTCTAGTCTCTCATTGGTTGATTTCCAAAAAGGAACACAATAATAAAACGTAATAACCTGGTTTGGTATGGGGACACACCCCCTTACAATCACTAATCATCTGTATAAACAATGCAATCCCACATTTCCAGTTCATGGAATTACGTGAAAAATTCTATATTTAAAAATGTACTTTTAACTTCAAACAGTAGCTCGTGCTCTTACCTCGTGTAAACAAACATCATGGCTGCTAGATCTGTGTATCACTTATTACGTCCCCTTGTTTCAAATCACTTCCGTTACTAGGGATGTACTATTGAGCGGCAAAATTGAACTCATAAAAAGCAGCACAATTTCACATCCACAGTTGTTTAATTATTTAAAAATTAAATTATAAGGAATGACTCTAATTCTTGGCCAAATTATTCGATTATAACCTGGTTTGGGTTAGCTTACGCTTTTTTATTATCCGCTTCGCAATTTATAAAGCGTAAACTGACCCAAACCAGGTTATAATCAAATAATTTGGCCAAGAATTAGAGTCATTCCTAAATTAATATTGATTGTACATAAGTTTGTCAACTGTAATAATGTGTTCCAATTTTGCACACATTTGATAATTAGGTATAGATCAATAAGTGTTAGATGTGTTTAGATATTAAAAATTGTAGTCTTATTTCTGATTAGGAATTACCCTGATTTACCTGTATTTATTTATCATGAAAAGGAACAATAAATGTTAATTTCAAATTAATGTTACAGTAAAAAAATTAATGTCATTTAAAACAAGAGGCCCATGGGCTACATCGCTAAACTGAGTAACTTTGGTAATTCATTTCTTTACAAGATTCTCCCTCTTGCTATACCTAGTATACCCCACTACCCCCTTCCCTTTTATGGTTTTAAAACTTTAGAATGTACACAACCCAAGGATGCTTCCACATAATTTTCAGTTTTCCTGGCCCAGTGGTTCTTGAGAAGAAGAGTTTTAAAGATTTGTTCTATATGTCATGCCAGGGGTCATGATTTTATCAATTTAATATGTACACTACCCAATGATACTTCAACATAAGTTTCAGCTTTCCTGGCACAGTGTTTGTTGACAGATATTTAAATATTTGTTCAATATATTTCTATGTAAAACTTGGAATCCCTATTAAATATTTGTTCAATATATTTCTATGTAAAACTTGGAATCCCTATTGTGGTCCCGCCCTACCCCCGGGGATCATGATTTTAATAATTTGATATCTACACAACCCAAGGATGATACCGTATATAAATGATCTTCCTTTATGTGTAAATTACTCTAATATTGATATGTTTGCAGACGATGCAACTCTGCATTTACCTAACAGCAATGTACATACCATTGAAACACATTTAAATTCTGATTTATGTGAAATTGAAAACTGTGTATACAAAATCAGATGATACTGAACACAGACAAATCAAAATGTATGTATGTGTACCCAACAAAAGAGATCACAATTAAAAAACCCAGTACTTTATGCAAAAATTTCTAGCAAAAACTTGGAAAACGTTGACGTTGAAAAACTCCTACGTATTCAGATAGATCAATCTCTTCAGTATAATTGTCATGTTGATACAGTTTGTAAATCATTAAGATACAAGTTATTTACGCTCCGTAAAATTAAGAAATTTCTTCCATTAAGTACAAGAAAACTCTTCTATAATGCATACATTTTGCCTTCAATAAACTATTGTCTTACAGTCTGGGGTAATACGTCCAAATCTAACATCGAGAGAATTCATAAACTTCAAAAACGTGCTGCTAGAATTATTCTTGATGCAGCACCTGACCATCCATCTAAGCCTTTGTTTGAAAAACTAGGATGGTTTAAAATGATTTTGAGTTAGTTACATTTTATAAATTTATTTTATTGTATAAAACTTTTTGTGGTATGAGCCCAAAATATATTTTAGGATCTTTTTATTTTTCACAGTTCCGATTCCTACTCATTGCGTTCAGAATTGAATTATAATCTTCGATTACCAAAGCATCGAACAATCCTATTTAAAAACTCTTTTCAATATTCAGGTGTACATTTATGGAATAATCTACCATTACATGTTAAATTATTACCATCCTTGCCTGTTTTTAGAACCAATTTGGAAAAAGTTATAATCAGCCAACGTCTGTAATTTTCATTATTATAGATGTCCTTGTTATTGTTATTACTACGTCTTTTAAACTTTGTATATTGACTTATTTATTCTCCTATATTTCCATTAGTTTAATTTGTACATTACATCCGATTATGAAGATATAAAAAAGTTTATCATTGTTCATGTGCTGTGTATATATGTTTGAATGTACAATTTTATGTATATTCCCTTATTATTGTGAACAAAAATGGCATTAAAATGCATAGAAATCATTGAACATTTGCTACATCATGAAATCTTTTCTCACAATCTATTCTACATGTTCAATTTACCTTGATTCACTTTTTTGTGCATAAAAATGAAAACAATTTATCCGTAAACAAACAAACAGGAAACATATATCGCCTACAAAAAGTAAAACCTGACATGTTAGAACTGAGAATTAATTTTAGGAATTAATAAAAATTTCACAAGATCACGTTTATTACACTTAAACTAGAAAGTTGCACCAACCTCATTATTATGTATAACTATGATCAAGAAGCAAATCACATTATTACCTACTTAAAACTATAAATTCTATCAATCTGCATGATCTCTTCAACTAGGACACTTTACTCTGGCGGGAAATAAGTTCACCGAATACACAACTCATGTACAAATCATAATTTAAAAAATGCATACTTATTTGATTCACATAAATGCACACTAAGTAAAAATTAGCACAAATACATAATACACACCTGGATACTGTAATATTTTTTAAAGAACAAAAAGATGAGGCCTGCGGTTCACTTCGACATGAAGGTCGGGCTGCAGCGTGACGTCAGCCTCAGCTCCAAATATGCTAAAAAAATACTTTCTATAAAATTGGAAATAATACATTTGCACTAGTCTACATTAGGGTAAGTTCATATCATTATTTACAAGTAAATAAAATGTAAAAAAAAAAAAAGCACTCACTGTAACGATTTATTTTAGATGTATTTGAAGAAGACTTCAAACGATGGAAAAAAGATGATGTGGTTTACAACAAAAGCCACAGTTTTCTACAATGCTGGATAAAGTCCGAAAGCAACCTTACATGACATTTGTTGGTGTTCCAGGATCTGGAAAATCAGCAACGATTCATAAATGCCCTGATACCCCGGGAAGGGATATGAGGTTGTACCTATTATAGACATCAGGAAGATTAAATTATTCTGACTCGCGTCATCCACAAGTTTTTGTCATTGATGATGTGGTAGGTTTTTTGGTCTGCAAAAACAAAAGTTAGAGTTATTGATAGACTATGAAAAAAAAATTTTCAGGTCCTTCCCATAAAAACACAAAGATATTAATGTCATGTAGGGAGGCTGTGTTCAATGAATGTTACAAATCTTTTTTCTCAAATGAAAATAATACAATAATGATGCATAGTTCCGAAAATGCATTGAACAATGAAGATAAAAAATCGATCCTTAGAAACACGGCTTGGATAGAGATTTGTTGTCCCCTACTACTGCAAGGAACATTGGGTATCTTTCCTTTTTGTGTAAACTATTTCCAAAGAGGAGAAATTTAGAAAAAATGTTAAAAGGGTTTTTTTAAATGCCCAGCTAAATGTATTTTAGAAGAATTTTACAAAAACAAAGGCAAAACAGTTTGTTCTATGCTGCATTAGTCTTGTGCATGTTAAATGACAATAAACTATCAAAAGAAATATTACAAAACACCGAAAACGACGTTTTCGTGGAAATGAAATCAAAAGTATTAGAATGTTGTGAAGTTGAATGTGGGACTGATGCATTTAAATTTGAAAAAGCATTGGCAGCTATGGAGGGGACATACACAAAAGTATTTGGTACTGTGTATACCTTTATTCATGACTCTGTATTTGAAATCCTTTCATATCATTTTGGTTCTCAGTTTCCAGATCTTATTTTGCAATATATCAGCAGTAGTTACATTGCCAATAACGTGAAAGTGCAAGATTGTAAAGAAAAGTCGGAGGTTGAATGTAAACAATTGAAAATGTAGTGTTAAGTGGTGAGGAGCATGAAACATTAATTTGAAAGAAGCCAGGATTTGCATGATCTCAGTCTTAGGTTGAGAGGGAGCAGTATCCAATGTTAGCAGAGCTTTTACAGAGATATAGAAAATAGGAACTATATGATGTTTTTATGAATAAGCTTTTAAAACATCCTCAGGTGTGTCAGGCTTTTATTGAGGTGTTAAAGACCAAGTCTTACAATGAGTTAAAATCTTTATTTCTGTCAGAACAGAAGGATGTATCAAAGGTAGTGGGTAAAAAAGAGCATGTGATAAAGAGAGTGAGAAGAGGGATGAGAGGAGCAGGGAGTGGAGCAGACAGAGTGTGCTGTTGAATGAGAAGGGTTATTATAGAAAAAACATACAGTGTGAGGGTAAAAGTTTGGTTTATGGACACAATCAGATCCTACAATATATTTTGAAACAAACTGAATTACACAAAGAAACAAAGTTTGAAGTATTTTGGAATTCGTTTAGCCCCAAATTAATCTATAAAGCAATAGAGAAAGGAAATATCATTAAAAAGATAATGAAACAGACAAGTTATCTCTATCAAACTTCATTAGTGATACAGGAAACCAAAAACCATTTGTTTCCGAAGATGACCGCTTATTTCTATTATTGCTACAGTGGAAATTTAGAGGCTGTAAGAATATTAATCAAGTATGTTGATATACAAACAACAAACAAGAAAATCCCACATATGTTTTATGATACACCACTGATAGCAGCATGTGAGGCTGGGCATATGAGTGTAGTGAAGGAGCTTATAGAAGCCGGAGCTGATATCAATAAGAGGTGAGGGGTTACACCACTGACAGCGGGGTGTAAGGGTGGACATATGAATGTAGTGAAGGAGCTTATAGAAGCTGGAGCTGATATTAATCCTAAAGGTAGGTATAATACACCACTGACAGGGCATGTAAGGGTGGACATATGAGTATAGTGAAGGCACTTTTAAAAACCGGAGCTGAATCAATCCTAAAAGAAAGTATATTTCCCCACTGATAGGAGCATGTGCACATGGAAACATGGGTGTAGTGAAGGAACTTATAGAAGCTGGAGCTGATATTAATCCTGAAGGTATGGTTAAGACACCACTGATAGCTGCATGTGAGAAAGGACATATGAGTGTGGTGAAGGAACTTTTAAAAGTCGGAGCTGATATCAATCCTAAAAAAATCCGGAATATTACCCCACTGACAGGAGCGTGGCATGGAAACATGGGTGTGGAAAGGGAAATTATAGAAGCTGGAGCTGATATTAATCCTGAAGGGATGTTAAAACACCACTGAGAGCAGCATGTGAGAAAGGACATATGAGTGTGGTGAAGGGCTTTTAGAAACTGGAGCTGATATCAATCAACAAGATGGAGTTTATCCCCACTGATAGCAGCATGTAAGGGTGGACATCTGATTTTAGTGAAGGAGCTAGTTAAAGCCGGAGCGGACATCAATCAACAAGGTGAGTATAATACACCACTGACAGCAGCATGTGAAGGTGGACATATGAGTGTAGTGAAGGAGCTTATAAAAGCTGGAGCTGATATCAATCAGAAATTTGGAGATGATACACCACTGATAACAGCATATAAAGGTGGACATATAAGTGTAGTGAAAGCGCTTATAGAAGCCGGAGCTGATATCAATCAGCAAAGTAAGAATCAAAACCACTGACAGCAGCATGTAAGGGTGGACATATTAATGTAGTGAAGGCGCTTATAAAGCTGGAGCTGATATCAATCAGCAAAGTAAGAATGACACACCACTGACAGCAGCATGTAAGGGTGGACATATTAATTAGTGAAGGCGCTTATAGAAGCTGGAGCTGATAACAATCAACAATGTAAGAATTGTACACCACTGATAGTAGCATGTAAGAGTAGACATATGAGTTTAGTGAAGGAACTTATAGAAGCTGGAGCTGATATCAATCAGCAATGTGATGATGTTACACCACTGACAACAGCATGTTGGAGTGGACATTTGGTATAGTAAAGGCGCTTATAGAAGCCAGAGCTGATATCAATCAGCAAGACGGAGATGATTCACCACTGAGTGCAGCATGTAAGGGTGGACATATAAGTGTATTAAATGGGCTTAGAAAAGCTGGAGCTGATATCACTGAACAAAATATATTAGATTCATCACAGACAGCAGAATATTGGGTTGAACATGGTGATTAAGGGGCTTATAGAAGCCGGAGCTGATATCAATAGGAAAGTGGAGATGATACACCACTGATAGTAGCATGTAAGTTTGGACATATGAATGTAGTGGAGGCGCTTATAGCAGCAAGGGCTGATGTTAATCGTCAAGGTAAGAATGACACACCACTGACAGCTGCATGTAAGTTTGGTCATATGAATGTAGTGAAGGCGCTTATAGAAGCCAGAGCTGATATCCATCAACAAGATAAGAATTACACACCACTGACAGCAGCATGTAGGGGTGGACATGATCATGTAGTGAACGTGCTTATTGAAGCAAACGCTGATATCAATCAACAAAGTAAGAATTTTAAACCCAAAGACAGCAGCATGTAAAGATGGTTATTACCCTGTAGTGTTAAAGCTTATACATGCCAGAGCAGATATCAATCAGCAATGTAAGAATTATACACCAATGATAGCAGCATGTAAGGGTGGGCATATGATTACAGTAAACTTTCTTATAAACGCCGGAGCTGATATCAATCAGGAATGTGATGGTGTTACACCCTTGATAGCAGCATGTTGGCGTGGAGATATGTGTTCAGTTAAAAGGCTTATAAAGCCGGGGTTTTTATCAATCAGCAGGGTAAGAATGATACACCACTGATAGCAGCGGGTAAGTGTGGACATAATAGTGTAGTAAAGGAAGTTATAGAAGCCGGAGCTGATATCAATCAACAAGGTGAGTCTTATACACCATTGATAGCAGCATGTAAGGGTGGGCATATGAGTGTAGTGAAGGAGCTTATAGAAGCAGGAGTTGATATTAATCAGCAAGATAGAGATGATACACCACTGACAGCAGCATGTAGAGGTGGCTATTTCAATGTAGTAAAGGCGATTATAAAAGCCGGAGCTAATATCAATCAACAAGGTATGAATCATGCACCACTGATAGCAGCATGTAAGGGTGGTCATATGAGTTTAGTGAATGAGCTTTTAGAAGCCGGAGCTGATATCAATCAACAAAAAAAGAACTATACACCACTGATAGCAGCATGTAAAGGTGGTCATATCAATGTAGTAAAGGCGCTTATTGAAGGCGGAGGTGATATCAATCAACAAGGTAAGAATTATACACCATTGATAGCAGCATGTAAGGGTGGAAATTTAAGTGTAGTTAAGGACCTGCTAGAAGCGGGAGCTGATATCAATCTACAAGGTCCCAATATTACACCACTGATAGCAGCATGTAAGGGTGGTCATATCAATGTAGTAAAGGCGCTTATAAAAGCCAGAGGTGATATCAATCAACAAGGTAAGAATTATACACCACTGATAGCAGCATGTAAGGGTGGGCATATAATGTAGTAAAGGTGCTTATGAAGCCAGTTTTCTCAATCAACAAGGTAGGAATGATACACCACTGATAACTGCATGCTGTGATGGACATTTGAGTATAGTGAAAATGCTAATAGAAGCCGGAGCTGATATCAATCAAAAAAAGAAGAATCACACAGCCCTGTCAGCAGCACGTGAGCGTGGACATGTGAGTGTAATGATGGCGCTAATAAAAGCTGGATCTAATATTTATCAACATGGTGAGGTGCTACACCACTCAACGCAGCATAAAGAGATAAACACATGAGTGTAGTCAACAGATTTTAGAAGCCAGACCAAATATCAATTAACAAGGTAGGTACTATAATCACTGACAGCAGCATGGAAGGATAGATATATGGATTCGGTGAATGAATGAACAGGAGCAGGACTCAATGAATGAAGTGAAGTGGGGATATAAAAAAGCTAATTGTGCAGGCTGATACAAAACAGCAAGTTAAATCAGATACATACATTATTAATAGTAGAGGGTAAGGTAGAATTAAATGAAGGAATTACTTCAATTCAAACCACGGAAAAAATGTACGATCCTCTCCTACTGCGGACCGTAGCTTGAGACGATGGGGTTCATCTATCTGAGTGTCATGTCCAATGCATATTTGGTACGAACCAAAAGAAGTATATAATTTCCGGTACCAAACTTAATACGAGAATTAAACATTGATTTTGTGCTTTTATTTTACTGTCTCTCAAATTACACACCATTTGCAGGCCCGTGAAAAGCAATTTCAGTTGGAGGGGGGGGGGGGGGCAGCCATACATTTTCTGGCCATGCATTGTAGAATTTGTTAACGATGGGGTAACCTGCGTTACCTTTCCGAGTAAGCAGTGGACTCGTCTAAGGATGCTTTGTCAGCGACTGTAAAAAGTTACTCGAGATTCATACGCAAAGGAAAGTGTGAAATCTCTGTATAGAAACTGTTGCGGCTGCGACGCTTCACTCATTGCTCATTCGCCATAGAAAATAATCTGCTATTTAACACTTATATCTTTGAATATACAGACGTTTTCATGATAAGCTTCATATTTGTTTCAAGAAATATTTTTATATACAAAAATAATATATTTTTGTAATTTTAAACTGAGTAATTCGATGACCTAGCATCGTTTTAGATAACTCAAGCCCCTCTAGGGCTTGAGTAAAAATTGTTTAGATGAAAAATGAGTGATGTGAAAAAGAGAATCTCGAGAAGGTGATGATGTTGAGGATCTAGTTATGTAGTCTGCTAGAGATAGAGGGCTTTCTGTTCCAGAGATGACATGACTGATGAAAACAAACAATGATTGGTTTAAAAGGAATTATAAAGGGTCTGAGCGGAAGAATTAAAGAGCTCCATATAGAATACTGTATCAATATTAACCTGAAATAAAAGTATATGTCCAGGCATAATTTGCAGTGTTCTTAAAGCTTTTGTTTGTAAATTACATATGTAATATTTGAAGAGAGGATAATTGATAAAATAATTATTTTCACTGAGCACATAAGCATTGATGCATTTAGTTTGCAGTTAGCTTGGTGTTATTTACTAGAGGACCTTTGTATTACTTGCTTGTAATGTGTCTTATTATTTTTATTTGTTACATTGTATTATGTATAAGCATTAAAATTTACATTGCTTTAGAAAAGGGTTGTTTTGATCGGCCTGAATTCGCTGTGCGTCATTATTAATTGCCTAGTTGTTCTTTTCATCATACAAAAATCATGTAACTTTTGCTCATTGGCATATTGCACTCTCATTCTGAAATCATTCAGCAAATGTAAAATAATTTCAATCACAAATGTTATTAATACAACTGTAACATCATTTATAGATTTGTTTTGATGGGAAAATTCCATTCTTTACAAATTATTTTTTTGCCTGGTTATCCTTGACATTCATTCAGATATTTAAGGATTCATTATTTTCTCTTTACCTTTTTTTCAATTCTGATTGTAATGTGCGATTTGTTTTGGTTAAAAAGATATAGGTTTCGAGTAAGGGATGCAACAGAGTTTTGTTATGATTATTTAAACTTTATCTATACATTTTTCTGTAGTCGCTGGTTGCCTCTCAAGGTTTTTTCTTGGAGTGTTGTTTATCAAAATATTATTATGATGTATTATATTTTATGTATTTGTTAAATATAAACAAAAATAATTCTTTCAAAGGAATAAAAGCAGATTTTTAAAATGAATCTTTTAAGAGTTTGTAAATTTATTATTCTTTTTGTATATTTTTTTAATTCCATTACGAAGATGCGTCTCATTTATTTTACTTTAAGGTACATTGTTTTCGGTCATTCTTTTTTCTTATTGGAACTTGAACCGGCCATTGTACGAGGGACGTGAAATAAATAATGTCATCGGAGCTTTGAAAGAAGCAAAAGACGCTTTTCAATGTATAAGTCTTTATGTTTTTACTTATATGAGACATAGACTTGAATCATCTAGTGTTCTTCAACTTTTGTCGAAATGTTTTGATAATGCTATATATTACCTCATGGTAACAATATGTTGAATATTTTTACACAATTTGTAATAGATTGGACTATTGCATAATTTCAAGTAATATTAATTTAATTTGCCCCTTAATTTGATTTTATTCTTATCTTCAGTAAATAAAAAAACTTAATGAATTGTGCAGCTTCTTGATTTGTTTTATTTGGGATTTTTAGCTCACCCCAGCCGAAGCTCGGTTGATTTTTTTCTGATCACATTTTGTCCGTTATCCGTTTGTAAACGTTTTACTTTTCGACTTCTTCCCAAACACCACTGGGCCATTTTACCAAAGTTGGTACAGAGCATCCTTGGGTGAAAGAAAATTAAAATTGTTAAAATGAAGGAACAAAGCCCTACAAGGGGAGATAAATTGTTCAAATCATGACCCCCAGGGGTTGGGCAGGGTTACATTAGGGAATCAAAGTTTTACATAGAAATATAGGGAAGAATCTCCTAAAGAACCACTAGGCCAGAAAAACTGAAACTTTTGTGGAAGCATCCTTGGGTAGTGTAGATTTTATATTATTCAAATCATGACCCGAGGGGTTAGAGCGGGCCACGATTGGGAATCCAGTTTTACATCGAACTATGTAGGGAAAAACTGTAAAAATCTTCTCACGAACCACCGGCCAGAAAAGCTGAAACGTGAGTGGAAGCATCTTTCAGAACTGTAGATTCTAAATTGCTCCGATCTTGACCCCTGAGGTATGGGTCAAAAGAGTTCAAGTCAAAAAGTACAAAAATTGGCCTGATTGCAAAATTGGACAATTTTGCCTCTGGATATATCTACAGTCTATTTTGTTTTCAAACCAACTTTCTTTTTTCAATATCTCTTACATATTTCCTGTAAGAGGTCTTCCAAATAGCTTATGTATATGGATAAATTTCATACGTTTTAAGGAACGTCATAATGACGTTTTAAATCTTGACACTTCTAAGTTCTCATAAATAAAGTGATCAATATTTATTAATTGAGTAGTTCAAAATAATATATATTATAATATATTACAGATAGTACTTCGATATTTTGTGAATGAAAGATATATAACTTTGAAACTATAACATCAGATTTAAGCAAACTTATGTATGTGTACATGTGAAAAAGACCGCGTTTCCGTTGAGCTTGTGAAAATCTAGTTACACGTAAACAATTAAATAAGGACTAGTTAATGTTTTGTAATATTAATTTAATCAACAATTAACACGAACTTTATGAATTAAATATATTAATCAACCTGTATAAAGCCTTAAGATGAATAAAACCTAAAAATGATAGCATTGTTTTAGTTACGGTTAACACACAGGTATGTACAAGCATTTACATGTACACTTTCACTTTGCCAGAAAGATGCGTCCATCATGGTTTTGAAGAAAGTGAACTCAACCAGCAGTTTTTATTGATTGGTATAAGCTTATAATTTTCATAGTAAATAATTATAAACACACGCAGTTCATTATGATTTGATCATATTCTCCAATGAAATATAAACTATACATATCACCGGAAACTATCATTTGCCATTGGAAAACAAAGATTATCTGATAAAAACAGTTTCACGATTTGTAAACTATGGTTTACAACTCTTAATTATAGTTAACGATCGTAAATAATAGTTTACAGGCGAAAATCTATGATTCTCAACAAAATCTATCATCACCTTTATTATTACAGACAGATGTACTAAGATTAGTATTCGTAAACTATAGTTAACAACCGTTGAAAATAGAATTATTGTTGAAAGCTGTTGTAAATGAATTCTGAACTATTGTTCACGGTTTGTAAACTATAGTTTACAGTCCATAAACCTAGTTAATCAATTGTGAAGGTACAAAATAAAGATACATAGTGAAACTATCTTACTGACATAACGATACTATAAAGAATATGTATTTTATTCATAATTCTGCTTAATAATAAGTATTTGACTTGATATCGATAAAATAATTTAAACATTGAACGCATTGTTAGAAAAAGCGATTCATAGCAATTAATAACTTGCCAGTATAATGTATTCGTCGATGGTTGACAATTAGTATCTGTCAATATGATCACCATTGACAAATTGTTTGGACACTGGGTAATTTGTAAAGCATTAAAATTTTATCTTAGCTGACACTGTATCCATGCCCCTTTAAGTATTAAATTATGATGTTCCATCTTAAGTTTTTATTTCAGAAATCAAACCAAACGTGAAATCCAGGAAGAAAAATGTTTGACAATAAAAGCAGATTGTTTTTATACGTTAGATTGTTAATGAAACATACTGGTAATATTGATGTGATTGTTATTGTATACACATCGGAGAAGAAAAAGGCTGTTAGGCTGAATGATGCTAGAAACTGTGTGGAAGCAAAATTATCAGAAATGTATAAAACGAAAGAGGAACTATGGTGGCATTTTTCTGCCATTTGTGTGCAAGTTATTTTTCTATCAAACATGTCGACTTAGACATAGATAGATATGTTGACATGCAAGGTAGCTATGCCAACATGCAACATAAATATGTTGACATACAAGAAAATTGCAATCAAATAGAAATGACACAAAATCTTTAAAAATCTCAAATATTTACGGAAACGTATAACCACCTCGTGTTGGTGTTTTAGAAAACGATTTGATGATATAAAATGTTGCCAAGGACAATTAATTCAGGGTTTTGCGATTTAATTATGACAACAATCTCTGATGAATAATACTTTTCTGACATGTTTTAAACGACT